CATCTGTGCAAAGAGACAATGGAGAAACCCAGTATTAGGAGGTAAAACCAGTTCAGGGACTGACTGTAGGACGACTACCAATAGCTAATATGCAAGTTCCGGGGGAAGCTAAATAAAATTAAACTAAGTCCAGGAGAGCCAATATATGACCATGAGTCAATGCCACCTGAATTTCAAGAACATTTCATGAACACCAATGACAGAAGACCGTATAAGCTATTGGAGGGCATCAAGAAGAAAGTTAAAAAATCATTAAAAAAAAAACAGGAAAGAAAAAAAATATTAGTGTGGATGTAAGGAGACTGAAATTTGCTTTTAATCGTAGAGTACTTAAGGCACTTAGAAGAAGTGATGAAATCAAAGAGCTGAATAGGAAAATTAAAAGGGCATCTTATAAAGACAAAATAAAATATTATAATGAAATGTACAAAATCCTAGAGTTAGAAAACCAAAATGAAGAACACAGCATATCTAAAAGTGGAAGAAATCAAGAAAAAAAATCAAGCTCAATTGCTAAACTGAATTGCAATTGGCAAAATATTCAGTGATGCAGAAAATATTAAAAGAAGATGAAAATAGTACACAGTGTCACTGTACCAAAAATAACTTGTTGATATTCCACCATTTCAGGAGGCAGCATGTGAGCAAGAATCAATGATACTGAAGGAAGAGGATCAAGCTCACTGAAACCATTAGCCAAAAACAAGTCTCACTGAAACCATTAGCCAAAAACAACTCTCCAGGAACTGATGAAATACCAATTGAAATGTTTCAAGAAGCTGATTAAGTGCTACAAGTACTTACTCATTTATGCCAGGACATTTGCCAGAGAGCTCCTTGGCCAGCTTACTTGAAAAGATCCATATTTCTACACATTCCACAGAAAGGTGACCTAACAGAATGCTTAAATTATAGAACATCATTGCGTCGTTACGTAATTTCATGTCAACTTCAAGTGTAGGGGTGGAGTCCAGCCCGTCAATCAGGTCACAGCACAATGGTGTCTCCTTGTGGGCGTGACCTCCTCATAAGGAGGGTCCTGGGAACCTTCCCTCACCCCTACATTTACCTTGCATGAAACCTGGAGATGTGTCTACCACCGTTGGATCCACAAGACTTTGCACCCACCAGTGATGTTCCTGCATTCTGCATCGTGGCACGTGGGTATATGAATCTGAAAAGAGACTTATAGATTAGTATCAGACTTAGTATTAATATTGGACTTATAGACTTGATCAGGACAGGGCTGAGATGTTTTCTTGATAATTACTTCTTTATATAAAGCTTCCCTTACACATATACGAGTGTCTCTGGATTTACTTCTCTAATCAACCTGGCCTAACACAATTATCTTTGCTATCACATGCAAGTAGAATTTTGCTGACGATAATCCAACAACAGTTGCAACAGTACATTGACAGGAAGCCGTCAGAAGTTCAGGTTAGATTCAGACAAGGACATGGAACAAAGAATATCATTGCTGATGTCCGATGGATGCTGGCTGAAAGCAGAGAATGCCAGCAAGGTGTTTACTTGTGTTTCATTGATTATGCTAAAATATTCAACTGTGCGAATCACAGCAAACTATGGATAGCATTGAGAAGAATGGGAATTCCAGGACATTTCATTGTGCTTATGTGGCACTTATATGAGAGGATCAAGAAGTAGTTATGCTAACAGACCATGGGAATACTACATAGCTTAAAAGCAGTACTGTGTGTGCCAGAGTTGTATCCAGTTGTGGGATTCAGCTGGTTTGCACTGATTTGGCAGAACCGATACCTGATTTTTGTTGAGTTCTACAAACCAGATGTTAAAATGGCACTAGTGATCAGGGTTCTCTCTAAGGCAAGTGGCTGCCTAGTGGAAATTGTCCAATGTTGAAATAAAATTTTTACATTCCTTACTCTTTTTCATCTTATAGGCAAGGATAGTGAGAATTTACCATATGTATTTTGGACATGCCAAGAGAGAGCAGTCTCTGCAGAAGGACATCATGGAGGGGCAGCAAAAAAGAGGAAGAACCTCAATGAGATGGAGTGGCACGGTTGCTGCAATAATGGGCTCAAGCATAAGAATAATTACGACAATGGAGTAGGACCGGGCAGTGTTCATTCTGTTGTACGTGGGGTTGCTATGGGTCAGAACCGATTTGACGGCACCTGACAGCAATTGACAAGGGGCTAGCATAACGATTTTAAGTACTGTGAGATTACGGTGTGAGGAGGGGCGTTTATGAAGCTAGTTGCTTAATTTTAAAAGTTAGAAGAAGCAATGAATTCTTTCAATTTTATAATATTTCGCTCCAATTTAAGTGGTTAAAGGCATGATATACCTGAAAGCTTGTCTAAAAATATTTCAGTGTTAGTTCAATTTCCTCTCCTTGAAAATTGAACTCTTAATTGTTCTGTTTTGATAGATTTTCAGAAAGGAATTCAAAGGGAGAGGCACTACTGCAGATAGCATGTAATCCATTCTTACAGGCTTTCATTCTTCTAAGGATATTTTATAGGATTAATCATTTAATTTTCATTTTAATAACAAAGAAATTCTCCGACATAATTATGAAGAATTAATTTTTGGCCAAATATAACCCATCAGCTTAATTCTCGACCAAATCTGCTTTCTGTTCTATTGCTTAAATTCAATGTATTTTTCAAATCCAAAAGGTATTTTGTAGTGTGGAAGGTTAAGCAATAGTTTTGAGGCTATTTTAAAACATTCAGTTAGAGAGAGTTATGTATCATAAAAGGAGCCCTGGTAGTTATGTGGGTCATGCCTTGGCCTTCTAACCACAAGGTCTGCCATTCAAACACACTAGCTGCTGCGGGCTTGGGGGAAGGGCCAGGAAATGGAATTGTCCGCTCCTGTAACGATTTTAATTCGCACAAAGTCTATATGAGGTCACTACGAGTCACAGTCAACTAGATGGCTATGGTTTTGCCTTTTAGCCTTTGAAAAATAAATATAAACCAAGAAAATTAGAATCATATTCTTCTGGGTATTTTTAAAATTGCTCTGAATAAAGGTACATGATGCAGATTATATATTTTAAAATATAAGCAAAACTATCTGTAGTAGTTATAACAGCTTGTCTACACACCAGAGAATTCCGGCATTGCTTTTGCCTAAAGGAAAAAATAGATTACAGCAGATTCTCAATTCCATTTTATAAATAACTTGTGCATTTTTAGTGCTGTGGATTAAATTATGTAGATTTTTTTCTTCTAAACCAAGTCAGCCTCTATACACAAATGCAAAAATGATCCCAAGATGAGTAAAGACCTAGATATGAGAGGCAAAATTATAAAACTTTTAGAATACAGACATCGTTTCACAATCTTGAACTTCGCCCTGACTTTGTAATGATGACACCACAAGCACAGATAACAAAACAAAACATAAAAATACATAAATTGGACTTCATTGAAACTTTTTAGCATAAAATTAAACAGCAAGAAAATGAAAAAAACACACAGACTAGAGGAAAGTATTTGGAAATTATAAACTGACATCCACTGGGGGCAGAGTTTGGCTTAGTTTTTTAAGTGTTTAATAATTCCTAATACATAAAGAATTACAATTCTAGAGCAAAAAGACAATCCAAAGAAAAAGTGAGCAAGATCTTCAATGAACTTTCCTCCAAAGGAGAAATACAAATGGAGATAAGCTCCCGGAGAGCAGGTCCACGCAGTCATCTGTTGGTAGATGACTTCCAGACAATTCTAACTCACAGCGATCGTTTGTGCAGCAGAAGGAACTCACGGCCAGCCCCGCACCATACTAACGCGTTTCTCTGCTTGAGCTCAGTGTTGTAGTCACGTGTTAAAATATCTTATTGACGCTTTCCTTTTTTGCTGACCCTCTACTTTACCAATCATGCTGTCCTTCTTCAGAGACTGGTTCCTCCTGAAAATATACTCGAAGTTCCCGAGATAAAGTTTCACCATCCTTGCTTTTAAGGAGCATTCTGACTATATTTCTTCCACGACGAGTTTAGCCATTTTTCTGGCCATCTATGCTATATTCGAGATCCTTAGTCAACACTACAATTCAAATGTATCAATTCTTCTGCAGGTTTCTTTACTCCTTGAGGAGTTTTCCCATGCCTATGTTGTGATGAAAACCACCACTGCTTTGGTCTGCTGCACTTCGTTTTCACCGTGGCTTCTCTGCTTTACTCTAAATGCAACACGCCATTTGATTTCTTACTTCCTGCTTCCGTGTGTGTTGAGCAGAACCAAGCAAAATTAAATCCGTGGCAAGTTCAAAACTTTCTGTCACAACAAGAATATTCTTCTGCCTGCTTAAATGTAGAAGGCACACCCTGCACCAACCTCCCAATTTAACGGAGGGGGCTAGGTGGAATTAATTGAATGTTCATGCGTATTGAACACTGTTCATTTTCCTTGACATATTGAGCCCTGGAATGCCCGAATTTTAAATTTCAGGAAAAAAATACTTTTCGTTTTTATTCTTTCCTTTCATAGTTATAAATATATATATATATTAATATACACATGTAATTAAATGTTACGAAAATGTCGCGCTCGGTGTTATAGGGCGAGTTAGAAGGTTCCTAAACAAGTTAGCACTTACTGATAGGTTATTAAAGTATGGCACATCACTTGGTATCAGAAATTAAAGTTGAATAATATGTATCTACATTATATATAGTATAATTATATACTATATAATTATATATTATTATCTTTATTATCTATATAAATATATAGATATTATTATCTATATTAGCTCAGTATCTATATTAGCCCATTTAACTCAATTTTGTAGACTGATGGCTAGTCACTTTGAAAGGAGTCCCGCAGTTAGGCTTCTGCCAACTACTTCTGGGAGAGGCGCAGGCGCAGCGCGCAAACCGCGCCTGGTGGATTGGCAGGGCACCTGGGCGTTCCGGCGCAGGCGCACTGAGCTGTCTGCAACCGGTGGACCATGACGTTGTACACCTGCTGGAGCCCTCGCCAGCGTGCCGTGCCACCATGAGTATTTTGAATTTGTGGCTCTATGAATTCTGGCTGCTAATACTGAGTTCTGGTTTGAATGCGAGTTTTTTGCCAGCGGAAGAGGACGTCGATTTTATCAACGAGTACGTGAACCTCCACAATGAACTCCGAGGCAACGTCCTCCCGCCAGGGTCTAACTTGCGTTTCATGGTGAGCCCCGAACGATCACCTTTATTACTCTGCTCCCTCATCCTCAGACTGCTTAGGATCCTACTCTGAGCCTTAATGGTCATGGAGAATCACTGTTTTAGTTGGTTAAACAGAAGAATATACATAAAGTTTCTAAACTCAAGGAATACAAATAATTCTGATACATAATTAATCACAATGATTTTGCCCTAGATTGAGAAGCTCACCTCTGATGAAAACTAAGGGTATGCCAGGAAACTGAGTAGTCAAGAAAATAATGTCATAATGCAATATTTTAAAAATGAGTTGTAAAAATATCAGTGATGAAAAAAGTACCATATTTACAAAAAACAGGATCCTTAAACCTAGATTTGGGTGAACCAAGTGAAGAATTAACTTGCAAAAACAAGTACTAAATCTGGATCTATTTTTAATATTTTTCATCATGAATTTTAAAAATATTTGACTTCATAATATATTTCATTAAATATTATTTCTCATTATCACTGGAATATTTTTGGTCCTCCCCCAACAAAAATTTGCTCCTCAGGATGGAGGATTACAAAGCCATTTTCTCTTCAGGCTGGAGAAGTATCTACCTAGCCCTAGTCCTAATTTTGCATTGATTGAGAATAGCATAATTGCCTCCTTTCTCATTTTCTCTACTTAGTTCCATTTCACATTTTAGCAACTGTTCTCCAGTCTCATGATTATCATTAAAAATGAGTGTTAAATATGCATACTGTATTAGTCTGGGTACTTTGGAGAAACAAATCCACAGCAACTCA